AGAACATTTCAGGGCCACAACTTTAGGAAATCCCAGAAGATTTATTAGTTTGTATCTTTGTGACAAGGCTGTGTTATGAATATTGTTTGTAATTGTTCCAGCTCATTAGAACCATTAATGGCATTCCTACTTTACATAGCTGGAGGATCTTTTAGACTTTGAGTCTAAGAACTACCTTTAAAATTCAGAAGACCTGCCAGGGTACCAAATTCCATCTGGTTCCAGTCATTACAAATATCCCACTGTTGATGAGCTGAAAATCAGAGAAACCAGGAAGCAGAACTGGAAAAGTCTTCAGCGCCAAGAGGTCAAAAGTGTGTCTACAAAATGCAGGCTTGCATATAAATCAAAATTATCTTACCCTTGTAAGAGTATTTGATTTACTTTTTTCATGACAGTTTTATCCAGCCAAATAACCTCAAAAGGAGTGGGAACCCAAAGTTTCTGAGAACTTTGGTAGGCTCGGCTTTCTATAACATTTTATTTTGCAAGTTAACCTGAGTTTCTGATGTATAACAACTATATATAAAGACAATTTCAAACATTTCTTCTATGTTTATAAAGGTCTACATCCTTTATGTCTGCATATCATATTTAATGTATTTCATCCAGGAGTTCTCAACCAAGGGTCAATTTTCAGCCTTTCCCCCCCAAACTGGTACTCTTGAGATGATATTTGTCACAACTTGGGGACTGTGAACTGGTTCTAGTAACACATTTGGGTAGAGGCTAGACATGCTGCTGAGCATCCTGGTATAATTCACAGAGCAGCCTCATGTCAAAATATAACTCAGCTACGTGTGTGATGGCACAGAGCTAGAGACATTTCTCTCCTACTCCATCAAATAAATATCCTAGTTGGGAGGAGTGGTCAATAATTTTGAGGAAAAGAAACTGTTCTTAAAAGGGGTAGACTTACCTAAAGTCACACAGCTAAGTAATTGGTGACACCAGTTTTGAAAACTTAGCTTTTGTTCCCTTAAAACGCTCTAGTGCCTTTTATACAGTTTCCAGAGAAAAATTGATGACTATGGGTAAATTCTGGGTTTTGATGCAGATACTACCCTACTCTATATTAGTCATCTACCAGGATCCTTTCCTCCAAAAGCTTAACAATAGCTATCTTCAGATTTCTCCTTTAGGATGTCATTTCATCTGTTAGGTCAGGAACTACAAGATAAAATGATTGATTGGTTGTCCTTGCTGCATTACTTATAAGAAATGAGTTAAAATGAAACATGGTACATAGAAGAAGAGTTCTATGTATATATGAAATGTGTGCGTGTGGGTGTATATATGTGTTGCGTGTGTGTATGTTTGTGTGTATACTTGTGTGAGTGTTTGTAAACAGATTTGTTGGACAAATGTAATTTTAGAAGCAGAAAAGATGATCATCTGGCCTGTGTACAAGGGTACCTTATAGCCTAAAAACAGCTTTGTAAGACTTCCAAGACTGCAGTATGTATTTGTATGGTGAGTGATCCTTGTGGCAAGTCAGGGAAGAGCTGTGACCGCCCCTACTTTCTGCCTTGGGTAAGTGTAGGCATCCTATGTATGTGAAGCTGATGAGAGGTCTGCTTTCTCTCTTTTGGGATCTTGTCCTTCTATGAAAAGATATTTTTCCCATTGTTTTTATCTAAATTAGAAACAAGATTGTTTTACATGTCAATCCCAGTTCCCTCTCCCTCCCCTCCTCCCCTGTCCCCCCAGCTAAAACCCTACCTATCACATCCCCTTTCTGCTCCCCAGGTAGGGTGAAGCCTTCCATAGGGGGGTCTTCAGAGTCTGTCATATCTTTTGGGATAGGGACTAGGCCCACCCCTGTGTGTCTAGGCTCAGGGAGTATCTCTTTATGTGGAAGGGGCTCCCAAAGTCCATTCCTATGCTAGGGATAAGTACTGATCTACTACAAGAGGCCCCATAGATTTGCAAGGTCTCCTTACTGACACCCATGATCATAGGGTATGGAACAGTCCTATGCTGGTTTCCCAGCTATCAGTCTGGGGTCCATGAGCTCCGCCTTGTTCAGGTCAGCTGTTTCTGTGGGTTTCACCAGCCTGGTCTGGACCCCTTTGCTCATCACTCCTCCTTCTCTGCAACTGGATTCCAGTTCAGTTCAGTGATTAGTTGTGGGTGTTGTAGTTGGATTTTTCTGACGCATTTTCACATTTTTATCAGGTATGTACATAGATACAAATTTTGGATGTTATATCTCAATTACTTGGACATGTCTATTTTGTTAAAATCTTCTGCCCAAACAAGTTTGGGATGTGATGTTTTAAGATAAGATCTAGGGTTTTCTATGCTCATGTGTATACATACACTCTTAGACTGGATTGTAATGTTTACAGAACATTTATCAAAGGTAGGTAACTCTAGTGGCTTCTTGTGAGGAGAAAGACAGTGGTGGTGACAGAATGTGAATACATACATGATGGGAGATTTGTTTAGAAGTATGCTTCAAACTGATGGGACTAAATGTTTGGGATCCCATCTGAGTTTGAATCCACTAATATAGACATTCATTCAATTGGATGCTTCATCACCTAGAAATGGCAAAATATGTATAATAACATGTATGCACTTGGCTGTTAAATGACCCCTGGACAATGCAAGAACTCATTCATTACCTTTTCCCTGGTCCTTTTAAGGGAAAGCAGCTTGAGATCTCCTCAAGTTGTATAGCTTGGTCAGCTTTGATGATCTTTGAAATTTAATTCTTTATTTAGAGTCACATGTTGGTGAGAACAAAGAGGAACTGATAATAAATTAATTTCAGATTCTGTAAATCACATTTGATGGGTCACACTAGTAGTTATAAACTATGGAATGAGGGTGGGGAAAGGATAGAATGACTTCAGTTGCATAGCTGGGAAAAGTCAATATGAGTACTGAATTTCAATTTTTATCATAAAAGAGAGGAAAACATAAATACAGTACTTGAAAATACTGAGTTAGAATATACTGAAGCTTTCCCCTAGTGTCTGTCTGTACGAACTTTGATTTATTTTTTTGCTATTCTTTTTGTAATCAAATTCAGGATACTAAAAATTAAATGTCTTTATAATGGTTTTAAAGTAAGGAAAAAGGATAATGTAGATATGGGAAGTAAAGCTTGCAAAGCCTCTTGGCGATGATTATTTCAAGTGCATTTTTGTCTCAGCAGTATTATGAAATACATATTTTATTTGTGTTGTAGTTGGATGTCCACAAGTCAAAAATCAGATAATTCACAAGTAAACACTCCCAGTGTTTAGATGCTGAGGCAAAAATCAGGCCAGAACATTTTAATTTTTGATTTTGTTTCTTTAAAAATCTCAGACTCTAACCTTGGAACACTCAGCCCTAAATGGGATATCCATCAGATCCCTCCCCTGAGGCCTCAGGAAACCCTGCAGAAGAGGAGGCAGAAAGAGTGTAAGAGCCAGAGGGGAAGGAGGACACCATGAAAACAAAGTGCTCTAAATCAACATGAGCAAAACTCATATGAACTCACAGAGACTGAGGCAGCTTGCACAGGGCCTGCATGGTCTCACCAGGTTCTCTGCATGTAGATTAATTATGGCTTTTAGACTAGTGCATCCCTGGGCGTGTTTCTTGCGCCTTCCTTCTCTTGGGTTCTTTTCTGTTTGTTTTTGTCCAATTCCAATGTATTAATTTTTGTTTTATTATATTTTATTACTATTCCTTGGAAGCATGGTTGTTTTCTAATAAGAGACAGAAATGGAGTGGATCCAGAGAGAAGGGCATGTGGAGAGAAAGTAGGAGTAGTAGATGGAGGGAAAACAGTAATCAGGATATAATGTCTGGGGGTAAAAAAAAAAAAAAAAAAACTATTTTCTTGTCTTTTTTTGTTTTGTTTTTGTTTTTGTTTGTTTGGTTTTGGGTTTCTTGAGCCATGATTGTCCTGGAACTTGCTCTGAGACCAGGCTGACCTCGAACTCAGAGATCAGTGCCGCCACTGCTTGGCTAAAAAGAAAATTCTATTTTTAATAAAAGGAAAAATAATTCAAACTCTATTTTACTTGCTTTGGCTAAATAGGGTTCAGGTATTTAAGTGTTGGCCCTTTAAAACCCACCACATTTTCATGTTGGACACAAAATTCTCACACCAAAAGCTTGGAAGGGGAAGGCACATAGCCTGGAAAACTCTCAAAGCCCCCAGAGAGCTAAAGACATAGGCATTTCTCTCAGTGAGCTCTTGGTGAATAGGATACCTTTGCTTCAGTGACTTTGGGTTCCTGTCAGATATTTTGCTTAGCAGACAAGGAAATCTAAAGGACAGTCATTTAGTTTAGACAGTCCACTTGTCATTTCTGTAGCACACACACATAAAAGCCTTCAGAAACACAAAACACTACAACACACACTGAACACATCCTGAGTGGGAAATAGGTAAAGCAATAGCTCCCTTTGTCCTCAAGGACTTTGTCTATAATTATGGCACATCGGAGGCATTGTGATACATGTGTCTGACACACATGCCTCCTAGGGGAAGCAGTTGCTCCCCATTCCTTGGTAGGGCTTTTGCTGTAATTATGACATATCAAGGAATTGTGACATATGCCTATGACATTCATGTACCTCATAGATGTCTGTGACTCTATGGCTACCCTAGAGACTTCAGTCAACAGAGCTAGGTCTTGTCCAGCTCTTGAAGGGCTTGCTGAGGTGGGACACCTCGGACTACTGTGGGACTTTGCACCTTTCTGCATCTGTACTTTGATTCCGAGGAGCCACGTTTTCATCTCCTCTTCAAAATGAATCTTGAAAAGTTAACTGTAACTCGGCCAAAAGCTACAGAGACAGGAGGAAGAGGGAGAGAAGGAAAAGGAGGAAAAAGAGGAGAAGATGAAGGTAGCAGAGGAGGGGGAAGAGAAGAAGGAAAAAGAGAAGAAAAAGAAAGAGATAAAGGAGGAAGAGAAGAAAGAGATGGAGGAGAAAGTGAAGAAGGAGGAGAGAGAGAAATAGAAGACTGGGAAGAGGGAGAAGAAAGGCTCATGGAAGCCAAGGAGGTCAGTCAGTGGTCCTTGGTCACACATAAGAAGCATATTAGCTCCCGCAGATTGGCCTTGGTTTCCCCGGACCTGGTGCCTGAGCCGTCACTGATATTGCTGCTGCCAGAAGGTAGGGATGTGGGGGGGGCGCTGGAGGGCGCGGGGAGTGAGCGCCAGGAGAAGGAGGCGCGGGCGGCATGCAAGGCGCGCAGGAGGAAGGAGCGCACGGGGCGGGCTTGGGGCGTGGAGAGCAGGGACTGGGGCTGGGCTAGGCAGTGCTGGCTTTTAACCTGGGCTACGGAGGCGGGGGAGGAAGGCAGAGAGAAGGGGAGGCGTGTGGGACCCAGTTGGTTAGGGGGGAATTGGAAGCAAATGACATCACCGCAGGTCCGACAAAAGGGGAATCGCTAAAAACATTGACTGGGTCCTGGATATTCAGAGGTCGAGTCCAACCTGAACGTGTCCAGACACAGACCTCAGTGCACCACGGAGACATCATGCAGAAGTCGCCTTTGGAGAAAGCCAGCTTTATCTCCAAACTCTTTTTCAGGTGAGAGGGTGCCAGGGGATCTTTGCAGGTGTGCCCATGCCAAAGAAGGGAATGCATATGGGCAGTCTTTGGGAAAACAGGAAGAGATTTTTTTGTTGTTTTCGTTTTGTTTTTAAAGGTGTGTTGTCATTCATTGTTTTAAAGGAAATGTGGATTTTATAGAATAAATTGAAGCTGATTAGATGGAGAACAAAATGTACTTGCAACTGAGAATCAGACTTGCAACACCTAAATATTTGCAGGGCAACAGTTTTCTTAATTTTTTTTCCTGAAAAATTTGTAAGATTTTCTTAATTAAAAATCCTTAAGGTTGGTTCATTGTTTTTCCCCAGGAAGCTTGTCTGCAGGTGTCATACCTGTATGTAGTAGGTGTTCAGAAAACATTTGCTGACTGAATTTTTTTGAGGAAGTATATAGTACTTTTTGCTATTGTAATATTAAGTCTGACATGCTCACCAAAAAGTAATGTAACCATAGTTACATTACTTTTTAAGAATGTGAGCAAGTCAGTTAAAATATTTATCTTTAAGCAGCAGAAATATCAAAAGCAAAGAATTTAGGAAAGCAGTAACCATGGGATATGAAGCTGGGGTTCTAGCTACTGAAGCTATATCCAACTGACACTTGGGACATTGTTCTCTTATCCTGCATTGCACAGCATGAGCCAAAACCTCAATAGAAAAGGATTTTAAAATTAGATTTTAAGTTGGGAGACCTAGGCAAGACTAATTAAGCACTTTGTATTTGACATGCTCTATGGCGCGGCTATTCTGTTCCTCTAGTGTGGATGAACGAAAAGAACAGCTCTCTCATGGGAGCTCACTTGACTCACAGCTCCTCAGGGAATCTAAACTTTAGCAAACTAAAGGACCAGAGTGTTGCATAGATTGTAAATGTGCCCTGTGGTGTGGGCAGGAGGCAAAGCTCAGCTTTCAGTCTTCTTGCCTTTGCCGCCGCCGGTGGGTCTAGAGCTCAGGACTAAGAGGACAAGTGCCTCTGTGGGAGAGCTCCTCCCAGTGGATGGGAGACAAGGTCTTTACCCTTTGGAGTTACCTTTGGTATTCACAGTGCTTTTGTTACTTCATCCATAAATTCAGCTTATCAGCCGGGATCTATTTTCCTACTACTCACAGCAACAGAGTGTTAATTGTCATAAACTGCACACTTTTATGAGATCATTTTGAGGAACCTACATGTCAGTGCCTCACGTTCTCATGAGAATGTCTCTTGTGTATTTTCCCCACTAAAGTATTAAGAAACTTAGATTGTTCATTTATCAGTGTTTCAAAAATCTCCCCTCTTATTATACAGCTCATTTATTTTAGTGTACCTTCCAAATGCTCTTAGGTTGATTTGGAAAGGAAAAATATTATAATGGCTGTGAAATTTGTTAAGCACATACTCATTTCTGTCCTTCAAACGATTTCATAATCAGTTGCTTTAAGAATAGGTGTGTTTTTAAGAGTTAAGTTCTTACTATTTATAGGCTCTGACATTCAGCTACAGTACCAGTCAGTGATTAGAAACTTCTTTCTGAACTATCCTTTTCAAAGATGAAAACCCTTTTTTTCCCATTGGACTAGGCATTTCTGCCTAGTGTCGAGGACAGTGGGCTCTGGGTTCCTATTGCCTGGTTTCAGGATTGCTTAATGGGCAAGTCCTTTCACATTTCTGTGTGACCTGACTTTTAAAACTTAGAGGCTGTCAATGTGCATATGACATAGTGGGTTAATCTGCTGAGTAGTTATGTCCTGGGCTTACTGAGGAAATGCTAGCTGCTATGGTTATTTTCTACATTTTATGTAAGACAATGAGTTTATTTCTGTTGGTTATAATTTTTGACTATCAACCTTTTTTTATGTGATGTGTATGTGTATTATATATTTGAGAAATTAATGTAAGGGATAGTCTCATCTAATATGGACTTACTAGATATTTAGGGGAAATCCATATGCTCAGATCTCCATAGATGCCTTAGAGTTTGAGTTTCTGAGTACTATCCCATCAGTTTTAGGGTATAAAAGACTAAAAAAACCTGAAGGCCATGTTTCCAATATTAGGGTCTGGGTTATGAATTATATTAAGTATCAGTTTAATTATCTAGGTTATATCACTAAAACCAAAACAAGCTTAATAAAAATATATTTTTGCAAGTGTTTACAGGAAGGAAAAGTTTGGAAGTCATTGGAAGTATTCTAACACAGAAGACAATTTTACCATGAAAATTTCAAGTATTTTGTGACTTTCACGGAAAATAGTACATTAACTAGAAGATGTTATAAATTTATGAAAAAAGTTGTTTTAAAACAAGTGGTGATATATTTGCATAGAATTTATGATTCATATATTAGTGTGATTAATTTATAAAAATCTTTGATTTTGAGAAATATTTAAACCTTACATTTTCATACAACTGTAGTAAAAAGATCATGCCTGATGTGTGCCTGGTAGAGTGTGTGTTTGTGTGTGTGTGTGTGTGTGTGTGTGTGTGTGTGTGTGTGTGTGTGTGTGTGTATGTGTAGACCAGAGGGTAATATAAGGTATCATCCTCTGAAAGCCCATCATGTCCTTTGAAACAGGTCTCATTGACCTGAATTTTTCCAATTATGTTTGACATGCTTGCCAGCAAACCCAGGAGTCTTCCTGCCTCTGCTTTCCCAGCACTGGGATTATCAGCCTGTGCTACATCACCTACCTATTTACATGGGTGCTTGGGTTTTTACTCAGGTCTTCATGCTTGTGAGGGAAATTACTGACTGAGCTATGAACAGTTACAAAAAATTGGGTAGTAGCATGTCCATTCTGTTTCTGATCCACAGACATTATCTTATGTTTGTCTGTTGGGCAAGACTTAGGGTATGCAAATCCAAAGGCCAGTTTTGATGGACTGAAGGTACAGTCCTGGTATTTAAGAAACCTAGTATAGTTGAATTCTACGTGTCCTTTAGTTAGTTGATGGATGCTATCCAGGGGCTATAGTTCCAGGTTTCCATGCTATCCTTTGGCTTTTTTTTTCCCAGTAGGAATTAGATGAAGCTGCATCTAGGATGGGGACTCTCTGGACACTGCACAAACACTGCCCAATGTTGGCTCTGTACCAGACCCTCAGAACTCTCTTCTGTTTATTTGCCTTTTGCTGATCATGTTTTGATACTACACAGCTCAGAGTTTTCAACTTGGGATAATATGTTAGTTTCATGTCAGTTTCATAGTTCTAAGAGTACCTCTTGTGCATGATATAATGAAAGTTGTCATTGTACATATATAATAAATATCTTGATATCGTTAAACTTATTTTAGTTGATGTCACAATTATTAAAATTTTATCAATGGTTTTACAGCCCATACCACACAATACACTTTTAATATTCAAGCCCCTGCTACTCAGAGCAGAGGAAGCTATTATTTTAAAAATAACTTCATCAACATGTTGTTTGATGTAAGTAACAATGAAATACCCCTTGATGCACACTTAATAATGATACACAGGGGAAATTGAGGCTTTTGGTTTTCTCTATGGAAGTTGGGCTTACTGTGTTAATACTCAATTCATAAATGTTGAAACTTGTTTAAGAGGTTCACGAGTGAATACCACCATAAAGTATATTATTACTGTAATGTCCTTTTACTGCAACCTATAATTTCAGTGTGGAAGCACTATAGATAAGTATAGGATTGGTAAACCATAAGGGAAGGGTGTTAACCATTTAGCTTACAGTTTAGACATCATTTGTTGAAACTTTGAAAACACCCATGAGTCAGCAGCAATTTGGCCATTTTGATACTCTGTTCCTGATACATCTTGTGTAGAGCATTTCCTCAGAGCAAAGTCCCTGCAAAGCCCTCAGTTTAAGAGGAGTAAATGTGAAAAGGGTCTAACTGTTTGGAGACACTGACAGTGATTTCATAAATCCGTTGTGCATCATCACAAAGGAAAACATTATTCTAGCGGCTTCCCTTCAGCACTAAGAAAGGAATGGGTGCAGCATGTAGCTTGGGTTTTTTTGTTTGTTTTGTTTTTCTGAATAAAATCAGTATTAAAAAGTGGCTTTCATAGACTTGATTGTCAGGGAACTTGGTTTTTTTAGCAAGAATCATGTAAAAGTTTATTTAACTATTAGGTGGCTTACATTCCTGCAAGAATCCTGTAAAAGTTTATTTAACTATTAGGTGGCTTACATTCCTGCAGAGTTTTTAAAGATACGGCTTTTACAACTGCATCTATGTGATGAGGTGAGGTTTGTCAAATTTACTTGTCAGATTCTCTGTACAGCCTATTAATAGCTGTCTGTTGAAATTAATGGTTATTTGAAATTGTAAACTAATTTTTGTATTGTTGTATTCAGAGCATTTCTGGACTTCTGGATTACATGGTTCTAATAGGCATCTCTTATTGGAATTGGCTCCATTGTGGTCAACTATAGAGATCCATATATGTTGTATATTGATGATGTTCAGCATTCCTGACATGGTGACAATCATTCTGATAAAATGTATCTGAGGAAACAACTGTTGACACATTTTAAATTCAGCAAGTGTTCTTTCAAAATTTCCTTGTGATGCTATGGCTGACCCTTTAAAAGATAGCCTGCTTGATGATTCTTGGATCTAGGATGAGGAAATGGTTTGGGTGGTTTGCAGTCTTTAGCATTGTTAGGATTCTCAGTCAGGAAAACATGCTCATGTTATTGTCAGATAATCTGCCACAAAGAACTATGTCTAAGTAATATTTCCTTGTAGGTCATGATTCAGAACAATTTTTCATCATTTTTAAAAATGTATTTTATATACCAACCACAGTTTCCCCTCCTTCTCCTCTCCCTCTCTCCCCCCACCTCCCTAACCCCGCTTCCGCTCCTCCTCCATTTCAATTTAGATGTGTTAAGGCCTCCCATAGGAATCAAGAAAGCATAACACACATCAAGCTGAGGCAAGATCAAGCTCCTCCCTCCTGCATCAAGGCTGAATAAGGCATCCCACCATAGGGAATATGTTGCAGA